CATCGGGCTCCCTGCTTGGCAGGGAGTCTGCTTCTCCCTCTGACCCTCCCCCCTCTCATGCTATCTCTATCTCATTCTCTCTCAAATGAATAAATGAAATCTTTAAAAAAAAAAAAAAAACTTAAAAAAAAAACAACTGTGCATACAGCATAACTGTAGCTGCAATTTTTCTCAAATATGAAATGGAAATAATAATATCTACTTCCTATGATTGCTTGGGGATTTTAATGAGATAATACACATAAAGAGTTCAGCAAAATGCAAGATACACTGCTAAAATCTGGGGTATGGTGTTGCTATTATTTTTTTTTTAAGATTTTATTTTATTTATTTGACAGAGAGAGACACAGCGAGAGAGGGAACACAAGCAGGGGGAGTGGGAGAGGGAGAAGTAGGCTTCCTGCCGAGCAGGGAGCCCGATGCTTGGCTTGATCCCAGGACCCTGGGATCATGACCCGAGCCGAAGGCAGACGCTCAACAACTAAGCCACCCAGGCGCCCCTATTATTATTATTACATAAAGATGCTGGTAGAGATTTGGCTTAGAAAAATGCCAAAATCTTGGATAAACAAACCATATATTCACCCCCCAGGTATCAAGAAGATATGTAAGTTTGGTTCTCAAACTCAAATGAATTCCAGCAGAGCTTGAGAAGTCTCTTCCTTCTTCCTGGGGTCTCCATTTCTGAGCTCAGAGAAGATCTGTTTAACTACTCCGTGAATCTGATCTCCATCTCGGGGCCTGATTCCCCATGACTCCTCCTCCCACTTCCTCTACAGATTCTGGGACCTCTGCTCCTCCAGTCAACAAAGACAGTGACACCTCACAGCCTGACTCCACCTGGCCTCTTCTCACATTCTCTGAAACCTTCTTCATACTAGTTTTTTCCAATCCTTTTTTTTAAAAATAAAATAATAAAAATGTGAACCTCAGCCTATCCCCTGTCTAGATAGATCACGGCAAGTTCCCACTCAGTGGAATCAATTAAATGATTGATTGTACTTTTAATTGTCAGATAGTTAACAATCACCTATAAAATACAAGACATCTTGCTACAGACCCTGCAGGTGGAGAAAAATATAAAACAGGGGCGTCTGGGTGGCTCAGTCGGTTAAGTGTCTGCCTTTGGCTCAGGTCACGATCCCAGGGTCCTGGGATCAAGTCCCGCATCGGGCTCCCTGCTCCGCGGGGAGCCTGCTTCTCCCTCTGCCTCTGCATCTCTCTCTCTGTCTCTCATGAATAAATAAATAAAATCTTTTAAAAAATAAAAAAGAATAATATAAAACAATGCCTGCCCTCCAGAAACATCTGTTGAGTCAGGGGACAAGGTACAAAAGCACCAAGAGACCAGTGACATAGGGACAATCCTTGTCGTGGCCCTGCAGCTACGCACCAGGCACAGTCTGGGGCCCGTGGCAGAGGTTTGGTCTAAGCTTCCCTTCAACCCGGCAAGGAGCTATTATTACCCCTGTTTTCCGGATGGAAAATCAAGGAGCTTAAGAAGTTATGTAACTTGCCCCGGGGACACAGCTTGTTCTGAGCCATGATTCAAAGACATGTGTGTGGGACGTGATAACCCATTCCTTTTCCACTCTTCCCCACTGATAAATGGCCCATGCCAGCAACAGCAAACACATCCCAGGGCAGTGCATGATATCAAGGTGCTCCATGAACTGACCATCAGCTGGGCATCATGACCGGCACGTGCAGGAGGAGATCACGGGCTCCCACCCCAGAGGCGTGTGGCCTGGGGATACCTGACTCTTGACCATGACTCGCTGACCCCAGAAAGCTCATTGTCCTTTTCTGTGGCCCCTTACTTATTCTCACAGATCTATATAAGATTGGGTTTGACCTCTCCCTGTTTATCAGTTGAACGTATGAGGCACACAGAGATGAGACCCGCGCTGGGTAGTGGCCCAGCTGAGACTGTACATCCCAACATTGTCATTCCAATGACTCCATCTGCATTCTCTTCCTAAGGGCTCACTGGAGATTGAGATTCCCCGAGCCTTCCTCCTCTTATTCTAGTCAGCTATGTCAGGGGTGCTAGGTGTGGTCCCCAGACCACCAGCATCCACATCCATCACCCAGGAAGCTGTTAGAAATGCAAATCTGAGGCCCCACTGATTAAGGAACTCTGGGGTGGGGTCCAGCAATCTGTGTCTAACAAGCCTTCCAGTGGATTCCCATGCAACCAAGTCTGAGAACTAAGGGGTAAAAATTGTTCTGCTGCCTTGTGCCGTGCCCACGTCAAGTGCAAAATCAAGTCTGCTGCATTTACGAGTTCTCTGCCTCACATTTCCACCTCACTGTGCAAAAAAAGAAAAAAACAAAACAAGAAGACTCCTGCTGATCTCTCCTGTTCCCAGCCTGACTCCTTGAACATGCCCACATTCCCCAGCCCCAAACCCAAATCCTGTACAGCTTCTTCCCTCCCCGGCATGAACCTTACCTCTTCCAATTTAGTCTGTCTGCAGGGAAAAGAAAAGGTTAGGCCAAGGGGCAATTTCTTATGCTTCAACCCTTTCGTCTTCATGAAATCTGCCAGACAGTCAGCTACGTAGTCAAATAGCTAGAGAGAAGAGAAAGCACAGGATGCTGCGCTAAGGCATGGTCACTTATAAACTTGATGCCAAGGCCATCCCCCATCCCCTGCTTCACAAGAGCCCCTGCCCGATACCTCTGAGCCATTCCCTCGGATAATTTCACTGGGTGTTGGATAGAACTGACTCTCCATCTGGACATTTCTTTTCCCCTCTTCAGAGACTTGCACCTTCAAGACGCGAAACTTGGACCCTCCAAGATCCAGGGAAAGAAACTCCCCATTTTCTATGAAAAAAGAAACAAACAAAAAAGTTGTCATTTATGGAAGGCTGTTCTATAGCCAGCTTAGCTTTAGAAGTCGAGGCATGACCCAAATCTGCCCACCAGGCCATGCTGGAGGGCATAAACGTGGAGAAGGCAAATATAAACCCACTTCAGGCAGGTAGTATCAGACATGGGCCTCGAGGGTGGAGCCGAGTCCAGAATGCCACAACCAGGCTGAAGGAGCTGATACTCCAAGTGTGGGCAAAGTGCCGGTAAGGCAGGAGGAAAAGGCAGGGAAGCGTGCAAGGAAGGGAAACCAGCCCCATACAAGCCTCAGTCTCTTGGACAGATGGAAAACACCCCAGGAGGGAAAAGAGACAGGGACCAAAGGATGGACCCTACAGAGCCAAGGATCTTCAGATTTGGGGCCAGACCCAGCCCCATACAAGACCAATGCTATTAATAAAAAGGTGGATATGACACATGTGTTAAGGAGAGGCAGCCCACTTCAGTGACTTCAACTCGGGATCCAGCCAGTATTCCTGCCAGGACACCTGCCAGTCTTCTGCATTGGCCACAGATACAGGATAAGAATGCAGGTGTGCATACTCGTAAACCAACAAGCCTTGTATAGAATTATCTGTCCCTGAAAAGTGGCGACAGGTACCAGGTGTGCTTCATGATATACGCCCAAAGCACATGTGAGTGAAATTCCAGGACCGCAAGTCTGGTCCCCCCAGTGGCCTTGTTTTGTACCACATGACATACAGCTGCATGCAGATAAGGGACCAGCTGGCCATTCAGATTTACTCCGTGTAACATGTGAAATAAAACAGTGAGAAATTGCTAGTTCATGGTAAAGACTGAAGTGGAAGCATCCCCCAAACCAGAGGTCAGCTTGGTAGCCAAGGTGGCCCCATGTATGTAGGCTGAAACCACAGAGGAAGACCCAAGTCCCACCTAGTCCCCTTGCGGCCTGAGAGGACCACAGCTCCTGCCCTTGGAGTCCCACAGGACCCTACGTGTCCCCCTTTTTGCTCTCCGTGTCCTTGTACAACAGACCTCCTTTTCTGACCTGGCTTGACTGGGTTCTCTGCTCCTGGCAATCAAAGAGCTAGAGACAGTGCTCTGCAAACTTGAATGTGCATGTGAATCTCCCAAGAATTTTAACATGCAGATTGTGATTCAGTGGAGGTGGGGTCTGAGATTTTAGTGTTGTTTTTTTTTTTTTTAAGTTTATTATTTATTTATTTGTGTATTTGTTTATTTATTTATTTAAGTCCATCTCTACAGGGGCTTGAACTCATGACCCCGAGATCAAGCATGCTAGCAGGGCACCCCGGAGATTTTGTATTTCTAAACAGGTTCCCAGGTACTGCTGCTGCTGGTCTGTGGACCGCAGTCAGAGTAGCACAGGCCTTAGTCATTTCCAGACCCAGCTAGCAGGATCTTTTGTTTTTGTGGAGATTATCTGGAAAGCAAGATTCTTATCTCCCTAGATCTGCCCCCAAAGAAGCCTGATGGAGCCATTTATTATTCAGGAAGGGAATCCAGGGACCTAATATTGTGCAACTTTTGTTAGCATTCATCACATACCAAGCAAGAGATGCTTTCACAGATGTTATCTTGTTGAGCAGGAAATAGGGTAGATCACACAGTCCATGTACGAACATTTACTGAGCGCAACTCTGTGCCAAATAGCATGCCAAGTGCTAGGGAAGCACAGGGAGCGCTATCTAAACCCCAGGGGAGGCGGGACAGAGCTGAGTGCAGAAGAATGCAAGGGAGGGAGGCAGCCAGAGCAGGTCCCAGGGAGAGGAACGGAGCCAAGGAAGGAGCTCACATAGGGAGGGCAGGGTCTGCTTTTGAGGAAGGAGGGACGTGTGACAGAAATGAGGCTGGCATGTAGTCTCTGGATAAACTAGGAAGGATTTGGGAAAACTGGCCCACCCCAAAGAGCTTGAGCTTTCTCCAGAAGGTGAGGGGGAGCCACAGAAAGATTTTAAGCAAGGGAGTGCCAAGTTCTGATTGAGATTTGGGGAAAATGCCTCTGGCACCAATCCGGATGGACGGGAGGATTTTCATAAAAAAGGAGGCTCCTGTGCTGCGATTCAGGTTGGAAGTGATCTGTGAACCCTTGTGCAGCCTAGCATGGAGTCATTCCTTCCTCTGGCCTCCAGGGCCACTGTCGGCGTGCAATCACCTGGCTTCACCAGTGACTCAACACGCCATTTCCTGTAAACCGGGTGGGACCCTTTCTGTGACTTTGACCCCAGAGAAAGGACTCATTGGGCCCTGAGGGAGGCAGGACCTGCCCAGCAGAGGCAACAGCGGCAGAAGGGCCATCAGGATCTCTACAGTAATTATTAAGATTATTATGACCTTCGTCATGGGGATGGAACGTACAACGTGGTGACTACAGTTAAGAATAACACGCTGCATATTTGAAAATTGCTAAGAGGGTAGATCTTAAAAGTTCTCATCGGAAGAAAGAAGAAATTTGTAACTATGTGTGTTGCCAAACGTTATTGTGGTGACCACTTCGTGATATGTCCAAACATCAAATCATGTTTACACCTGAAACTAATATAATGTTATATCAATTATATCTCCATAAAAAAATTTTTTTAAATAATAAAAAGATAACGATCCGCCTCTGTAGATAATCCTCCTGTGACCTTTCAGGGGCTCCAAGGTTTCCTTCTCCTCATCCGTCCCCAGGGCAAATGCCCCTGCTCCTTCCCATTCCCTAGTGCAGCGTCTCCCAAAGATGCACAGTGACTGACTGTGTCGATTCCTAGAGATTCAGGAAACCATATGTTTAGGAATTGCTCCAAGTGAGTCTTATACTAGGGGGAGAGCAGGGGACCCCTGTCCTAGGGCAGACCCCAGGGCCCATCAGCCGACCACATCAGGGCTCCCTGGGCTCCCCTTCAAGGCCCCCCCCTCAGTAGCAGCAGCTGGAGTTGGGCCTCCAGAACCAGAGACCCCCTCACAAGCATGCGATGGGCACCTCCGGTCCCCCTTCCCTGTGGCTGCTAGAGGGTAAGGCACACTTCTCAGGCACTTTGTAAGAACAGTCGATTGCAGCTCCCTGACCGAAAGGCTAGGGGGAACCTTATCTCATAGGTTTGGATGAGAGGACAGAGAGTAGGTGAACTCGGTATTTCTCTGGAAACTGCATACATTTTTGAAATGGAAGCTCCAACAGATTAGTAGCATTTGTTTGCTTTTGTTAGTGACCATGAAATTACACCACTAGCTCACAGGAACTACGGAAGACTTGGGGCAATATTTTGGAAATTTTAAAGTACTCCTTCCACATGACTTCATCTGATCCTAACAGCCCTGATCTTTTTACTGATGTGGACAGGAGTGCAGTTGTCCTGGGACTTACCAAGGCCCCCTGGCTGCAGGGACCCTGGGCTCCAAGACCTCACTGCAACAGGCTCACTGGTGAGATTTATTACGTGATGAGATGTGAGATATTATGTGATGAGATTTATTATGTGAGGAGACAGTGAGGAAAGGAGGTGGTGCCTCCTGGCCTGAGGAGGGTTCTTCTAAAATTTGGTCCATTTCACTTCCAAACCTTCCTGAAGCAGCCAGGGCCAGGAAGACTCATCCAGTCCAGCATTCTCCAGACCCTCACAGTCACTTTCCCTTGCTTCTGGGGACACACCTCTGCAGGAGGAGCCAAAGCACAGGAAGCCAGGAGGACTTCGCCCTGGTGCCCCCTCCCCCTGACACACCCATGACTCAGGTGCTTACTCTGAATGGCCCTGGATGACCTGTCAAGGACCACAGTCCCTCGGCACTCTCATAGAGCAGTTTCTGGAACTCAAGCAGATTTCAACTCAAGCAAATTTCAAAGCAAGACTGTCTCTGTCCAAAGCTTATGTCCCTCCAGGGTGGACATAGCCCACCCTGTCACGCACCCACCAGTGAGGGAAGAGGCTTCCCCCATCACAGTTCCCGGGGACCTCTTGAATGGTAGAAGCTATTTTGACCCCGTCATTGGCCCAGAGGGGCCCAGAACCTGGCTGATCTAATCAAAGTCCCTGAGAGCTCCCCAGACTTCAGCCCCTGCTCCTTCAAGGGCCCCAAAGCCCCCACTGGAGCTTGGTCAGAGCACTGGGACTCTGACATTGGTCCTCCATGCTCTCATCTGACCTGGGCATAACAGTTACACTTCAGGGTTCTTATGGGGATTATGTGAGAAAGTGAGTTCCTAACACCCCTGACCACAGAAGGTGCCTTGCAGATTCCACTTCCTGTCCCTCCTCTGGCTCTGCCCAGAGGCTAAGAATGGAGGAGTTGGATGGAACCTCCTGGATTCCATCCATAAAGGTCTCTAGGCTGTGGTCAGGAAAGTAATAGTTCCCCAAAGATGTCCACATCCTAATCCCCAGATCCATGAATATGTTAGTTAACATGGCAAGGAAAATTAGGTTACAGATGGAACTGAAATTGCTCATCAGTTGACCCTGACATTAAGAGATTATCCTGGATTATTTGGGTATGCCTAATGTACTCACAAAGTCTTTAAATGTGAAAGAGGGAAGCAGAAGGGTCAGAGTCAGAGGGAAATTTAAAGATGCTATCTGGCTGGTTTGGAGATAAAAAGGGGCATGAGCCAAGGAATACAGGTGGCCTCTGGAAGCTGGAAAACACAAGGCAAGAGATTCTACCCTAGAGCTTCCAGAAGGAATGCAGCCCTGCTGACACCGTGATTATAGCCCCGTGAGACCCATTTCAAACTTCTGACCTTCAGGACTGTGAGAGAATAAATTTGTGTGGTTTTAAGCTGCTAAGTTTATGGTAACTTATTACAGCAACAATAGAAAACAAATACAGAGGCCAACTCTCTCATTTCACAGATAAAGAAACTAAAGCTAAACATTTTGCCAAAGGTCACTGAGAAATGTCAGAGCTGGGCCTAGAGCCCAGGTTTCTTGAATTATCGTTACTCTTCCTTCCACCACATCATGTTGTCTTCCCTTACTTACTACCTTGGGCCTAGAATCTAGGAACTTAGGCATGAAATACCACTTATTATCCATTTGGCAAATATTTCAGGGCCTAGTAGGCATCAAGCACCATGCTAGGTGCTCAGAACACCGTGGTGAAGAAGACACAGGCCCCGTCCTCATGGAGCATCAGCCCAGTAGGGAAACTCGCACACAGCAGGTGTCAGGACAAGCACCTAACCCAGCATGGGAAAGCCTCCTACGTGGAGGTGGTGACCTCTACCCTGAGACTGAAAAGCTAAGTTGGTGTTCATGAGGGGAAGAAGGTTGGGATGCTCCAGCAAGTAAACAGACAAAATGTGTGGGGCCAAGGCGCACAGAGAAAAAGCTGGGTACATTTGAACTTTGGTTCAAAACTTTTGGTACTGAATGGACTGAAGCATAGAGAGTTTGGGAAGAGTATGCACAAAAGGTGGGAGTGATAAGCCAGGGTACAGGAGCAGACTCCAGGTACCCATCAGCCAAGAAGAAAGCAGGGAGATCAGGGTCCCTGGCAGCCCCTAGCCCCACTCACCTGAGCCATCTGGAATGGCCCTGACAAAGGTGGGCAGCATCTTCACAGATGCTGTGGGGTTGGTGTCCTTCCCCAGGCCCTTCTGCATTTCAGCCTGGAAGCGAGCCATGATGTCCAAAAGGGTCTCATCGGAGAGCCGCATGTGATACAGGAACCTGTCCACCTGCAACAGACGCCAGGGTGACCAGGGATGCCTGCTGCGGGGTTGGGGGGGGAGGGGGGTTGTGCTCCAGTCAAGGTTGTAAATTCCCACTCCCACCACAAAGCTATTTTTCTGACTCTGGGGATAGCTTCATGATGTGGAATCCCAAAGATTCCTCGCCTGACTCCTCACCAAGCTGGAGACAAGGTGGGGAGTTGGAAGAATAGAATGGAATGGAAGGTTGGGAGGTAGGAATTTATTCCTCTGAAGGGCAAGCTCTCAGGAAGAAAGGATTCTCCCATTTTTCTGATGGGGCAATAGAGGGGGCAAAAGCGACAAGGATTCAGGGTTTCTAATTCCTAGTTCAGGGACTGCACCATTGTCCCCTTGCTTCTCCACTGCAAAAGACTAGCTAGAGCTTGAACCTTAAATTCCTAAGCATAGAACCTTTCTTTTCCAACGATGACCGTATATACCCCAAATTGTTTCCGTTTGTTTATGGGCTGCTAGGAAGCTCAGAGCTAAATACAGTTTCCAACAGCAATCTGTAAATTCTAGTTCTTTAAATTTTCATTCTGTTTTTAACTGAGGTTGTTTTAATTAAGATGAAGTTTAATTTTGGGCGCCTGGGTGGCTCAGTCGTTAAGCGTCTGCCTTCGGCTCAGGTCATGATCCCAGGGTCCTGGGATCGAGTCCCACATCGGGCTCCCTGCTCAGCAGGAAGCCTGCTTCTCCCTCTCCCACTCCCCCTGCTTGTGTTCCTGTTCTCGCTGTCTCTCTCTGTCATATAAATAAATAAAATCTTTAAAAAAAAAAAAGATGAAGTTTAATTTTTAAAGCCAGCTCAAACTGCTGCTGGAAATGGGTGGATGGACACTCAAGTAACTAGGAAATTGGGGCAAAGGACCACTGCCCTAATGGAGGGAATTTATAAAAATCACTATGGCTAGATGAACCATGAGAGACGATGGACTCTGAAAAACAAACTGAGGGTTCTAGAGGGGAGGGGGCTGGGAGGATGGGTTAGCCTGGTGATGGGTATTAAAGAGGGCACGTTCTGCATGGAGCACTGGGTGTTATGCACAAGCAATGAATCGTGGAACACTACATCAAAACTAATGTATGTATGTAATGTATGGTGATTAACATAACAAAAAAATTTTTTAAAAATAAAAGCAGATACAATAATAATAAATAAATAAATAAATATCACTATGGCTATGCTCAGTCCACTTGAAGGTAGTGTGTCGTATCAGAAATGGCAGAACAGCGTCCTCCTCATGCTAATGCTAATCATTTGGAGTGGCAGCCTGGATTCCCAGGCTCGTTGGAATGGATTATTGAGGGGGACAGAAGTAGGGACAGTGGCATAGATGCCCTGTATTTGCCCCTCCTGCTTTATACACATACTGAGCAGCCTCTCTACCCATCCAGGTCACAAGAAGACTTGATCCCAGCACATTCCTGGAGGAATCACTCTCCCACACTTTTCTCTAAAGCTAAGAACATCTGCGGAAGTCTACAGAGTGCTTTCACATACGTCACCTCATTTAATCTCCCTGCCATTGCTTTGAGGCAGCCCGTTGAGGCCAGAGTTCTTGCTTCTGACTGAGAGGTAAGGACCCCAAGGCTCAGAGCCATGATGCAGCAGTGGGACAGCTGGGGGTGAGGGGCGCCCTGGGCCTGGAATGCCGTCTCCATACTTCTTGCCCCACCGCCTGGTTTTGCTTCACAACTGCATGCAGGACGCAGGAGTCCAACAGAGACATTACACCAAAAGGGCAAGGGTTACATGACCTATATCACAGGACAGGTGCCTAGCCATCAGCCAGGCCCAGTGGGCAGGCATCCCAGCTCAATCTAGGGCCAATCTGGAGACCCAAGGCAGTGAAATGACCCAGGACTCCAGGGATTCGGGGGCCACAGAGAGTCCAGAAAACTGTCAGAGAGCCATTAACAAAAAAAGGACAATTGGGCTTTCAGTGCATTTGAAGAGATAGGAGGGAACCAGGTCATGCTTCATTAAGGGCTTCCTGTTCACCCTGAGTCTGTTTACGACTAATTGGTTGGCACAGCTACAAACACGGAGAAACCCGATGGAAGGGACGTGACCCAAGTAATTGGGACTTGGGGAAGGGTGAGATGTGCTACACAGCCCCAGAGCATAAAGAACTTCTCCAGCACCCCAGTGTCATCCCTCCCGTAGAAGGATGGTTTTGAGGCCCTGCTCGGGTCGTTTGTCAGCTATAGTTTAACAGAGTCATTCAGAACTTTGGGTTCCTGCTCCCGCTGTTTCACTAAGTTAAAGTCATGACAGACAGAATGTCCACCTAGCAAGTTTCTTGTTTATTCTCCGTACCTCCCACAGGCCCTGGTACAGTAGCTAGAAGGGAAGAATGAAACACATATTGGGGCAAAAAAAAGCTCTATTTTAAATCCAAACAGGTGATCTGGGGTCTTTGTAGCCAGGCACATTCTTTGCAGACACTAAGGGAGGGTGTTTGAGCTGCAGAAAACCAAGCACACTTTTGGAAAGACTCTGAAACCATAAAACAGGACATCTTCTAAACAAAAGAGCCAACGAGCAGCACATTTAACATAGGAAGAACAAATTCAAAACTGTAAGCTCAGACCTGCTGAATGACAGAATGTGGGGGCCAGAAGTGACTTTGGAGATCGCTTAGTCCAAAGGTCCCATATGAATTGAGAGTCATAAAAAGTTTCACCTCTTTGACCCAGTGATTTCAGTTCTGGAAATCTAACCTTATAATAATCCCAAAGATGGAGAACATTAAACACATTCCTATGTTTTTCAAAGCAATATCTTAATTGTTAAAAAATGTTTTTGAAAGTAGCCGAGTTACGATGAGCACTGGATGCTGTATGTAAGTGATGAATCCCTGAATTCTACTCCTAAAACCAATATTGCACTATATGTTAACTGACTAGAATTTAAATAAAAATTTGGGGGAAAAAAGGTAGCCGAAGAGAGAAAAGTTTGAATTATAGTATATCCAACTGGATTGCATATTGGAAGACATTAGAATGATAATTATGAAGAAATGGGAGAAATGTACATAAGTGGTTACAATATAATAATAAGTGAAGGAGACAAGATTTAGAATTGTAGGTATGATATAACTGTAGAAACATACCATAAGGGCTTCCACAGGGCAAATCTGACAGTGTTTGTAAGGGGGATGGGATTAAAGGTAACATTTCCCCTTTTCGTAATGTTGACTTACTCAACTGTAAAAAGTACACATTGAAAACCTAGCCAGTCCTTCTCTTATGAGTGAACAATCTGTAGGTCAGTGACCAGACTCAGCCCAATGTTATCAATAGGTCAAATAATGTCAATATACTGAATTGGAAAGGAAGCTACCAGAGTGGTTTCTCCTTTCTTCTTCCTTCCTTCCTCCCTCCCCGCCGCTTTCTTCCCGTTTTATTTTGTTTTGTCTTTGTTTGAATGTTGGTGTAGGGAAATGTAAAAAAAAAATTTTCCAGGGTCTGAATAGTAACCCTCACGGCAAATATGGCCCAGGATTCTGACAACTCTGGAAGCAGGAAGCATGGAAACTAAGGAGGGGATGGGCTACCTGACCCGGGAGAGAGAAAGGTTTGTTGTGCCTTTTGACCAGGTGTGTTTTCACCACATGAAGGAGTGCATGAACCCGTGTTCTCAGAACCTGTGAGTCATCTAGTAGCCCATAAACCAGACGCCCATCCTATCTCAGTCACCTGTTGCTTCAAGTGGCTATGTGGTGCTCCTGGCTATCCCGACTCCGCTCACTCTTCAGCTTTCTTGAAGGGGTGAGGGAAGGGTCAACTTCAGGCCTTAAAAAAGGCTGACCCTCCTCCCAGACGACCTGGAACGAATCAGTGGAGGTTGCATAACCTCCCTCCTGAGCCTGCACCCTTCCTGATTCTAGGATGTAACAAAAGGCCTAAGAAAATGAAACGAATTTGCAGAACCAAATGTAAAGGTTCCAAAGGCTCCCCTTTGGAGTTTGGACAGACACCGTGCAGGTTTCCTCCTTACTAAGCAAGTAAGAACAGAAAGTGAATCCTTCAGCAGTGCTGTGTAGGACTTTTCTACCTCCTTAAGAAGCCAGGAGAGGACTCTGTGAATCTAATCAATAAATGAAAATTAAGACAGCTTAAATCAGATTGCTTTATAATATTTTAAGATTTGCTATAACTTCTAACCCAAATCTCTAATGAACAGAATTCCGTGGAGGTTTCTCCCAGCAAGCACATGAGGGCTGTTACAGGGCCACGCTCTCTCTCTCTGTTCAAAAAGCCAGGAGGCATTGTGGCACAATGGAAAGAATGCTAGGGGAGTCAGAGACTTGGGTTTAATCTTCACTCCACTTGAAATACTTGGGTGACCTTGGCTAAGTCTGCCTGCTGAGAGGGCTTCTATTATCTCTAAGTTGAGAGACACCAGCACCCAGGGAGTGGCTAGCGGGGCAGGCTGGGCTCATGCCAGGCCTCCCGGAGACAATGCCGATGGGCTCCAGCTGAGGCTTGGCAACTGTTAAGCAGCCTACCTTGGAACATATTTTGTGCAGAGGTTTCTTGAGCAAAGTGACAAACTAATGCACACCAGTAACAGCACATCTTTGGCAAACAGCACATGCCAATAATAAATAGTTCAATTATTGTACATTAAAACCCACATCCCTCTTAGTTCCCATGCTTATATTCCTTCAAGCACATGAAGAATCATGTGATTACTTTAAAAGTTCTCAAAATTTCTCTCCCCTCCTTTGTAGCCTCTCCTCCCAAATACCCCTTATATCAAACACAATCATCTTCAACCTTTCTGAAGACTCTCATCCCCTCCCATCCCGTATCTACCAGGAAGTGCCAAGTGAAATGCAAGGCTCGGAACAATGTGTAATGGTCCAGCCTGTGGAGGATTCACTTCCTCCCCCACTCCCATGAGCTCTTTACTGGTCCTTTGCTCCCTGTGTCTTTTCTAATAAGCTTTCTTAAATCCTTTTGGATGC